AGCAGTCATACTAAACTTTTTTCGAAATGGTAAAATGGGCTACCTACTTTTAGTCACAGTAGATGCAAAGTTGACTATATGGGCTTGGTGATTTTATGGACCCTGGACTGAGGTATATGAATTAAATTCTGTTTGATTCTGTGTTTCATAGTAAGGACTGTGAAACATATGTTTCTCCCTTAGAATCCTTCTCTTTCTTATTAGTTTTACGATATTTGTGCGCAGCATGAATGCAAAGATTAATTCCTTTTCCTCGAGTACTCAGGCCTTTGTGACAACCCTCACATCGTCCATCACCGGAAACTTTATGCTTGGTTTTATTTTAGCTTCCCCCAGCGCACCTAACCATAGTGCTAGACTGCTGCATCACTGTTCCAATCCAGCTCCCCGGCAGCCCGCCTCAGAGATCTCCTTAGGCCCAAGTCGATCCTAATTCAGTCCGTTACTGCTCTAACCAATGCTCAGGCCTGGTTTTTGTGGCGTCCCAAAGACCAGCTTTCATCTTTTGCAACTTCTTTTGAAAGGCGATTTATTTATTGCGAGAGACTAATGCGAGTATTATGGAGCATCTGTTAGTGCAAGAAAGTAGACATGTTTAAAATGAAGAAAGGAAATGGTAAAATTCCATGCGAGACAGCATATGATGAGCAATCAAGTTTTTTTCCTTTGGGCTTATATGCATCTAAAAGGAATTATAGGGATATAGTCCATAGAGTTTACCGCATCTTACTTCGTTTTGTCAGGCAGGTTCTACAGTAGAGATCATCACTTACCCATTATATGGATATGAGACTTTGTGACTCAGAAAATATGCTGCATTCAGAATTTTTAGACAGTAAGTCGAGTGTGGTAATTCTAGGTTGAGATTTTCTGTCCTTGCACTCGAAGAATTTATATTAACGTGGCAAATATGTGTCGCGAAAAATTAGAGGGGTGCTAGATCTATCGCAGTTTCCTTTGGTCAGCTGTTTCGTCATCATTCTGTGTATCTGGTCTTACAATGCCATCACCGTCCAAATTTCGTGAAGATTAGTTCAAGCAAGTGAATGGGTTCAGACAGCCCACGTCAACCTATCGTTCAACCCTCCTTAAATCAAACTCAAAAGGCTTTGAAGAAAAGGTCTCAATAATTAAGATGTGATAACCATTGGAGAAAATTTTCTGGGCACATCGTTTTCACTTCAATTCAGAGGCGATCCTCTCGTTATTGAGTTGCATCTTAATAAATCGGTAAATGCGCTGCCAAAACTTCGGTTCAAGGTGAAGTCATGCAAGAACGACTTGGAAAGCATCCGAAAAATATTTTTGTATTCCCAATTGCAGGATGGAATGGAACCGGTGCGGATATGTCATAATCTCGGATTCCAACATCTTTCTCTTCAATGCTGTGCAGTGATGAAGAGAGGGGTTCTCTTCGTTTACCCGAAATTTTCATCGTAGAAGCTATCCAAATATCATAATGATGACGAGAAAGAGGAGGTCACATCGTATATCGATCAACACCAGCGATTTTACAAAAGAAGGCTCTTACTCATAGTACTGGTGGGACCCTTCGGTAGTCTGGTTGGCGTATCTGGGGATACGATTGCAATGAGAGCTAATGAAACCTTTCTCTCCATCTCCTCTCTTTTTCTCTGTCACTCATCTCTGAGCCATGATTGAAAATGCCAACTTGATTGGAGAGGGGTTTACGCAACTGCTGCCGTCTTCCAAATGAGCGCAGAGCGTGACGATACTGGCTGTCTATTTTTCACGTCATCACCCCACGAATGGATGCAAGGTCCTCTCCGGTCTGTTCCCTTTGTCCCCAGGAGTTGGCACGAGTCGTTTTCCTTGGATTCTTTCGAATCAGATAAACTCTGATGAGCTCTACCTCGCACGGCACCGTCATTGTTGACATCAATTCGCCGCACCGTCGGTCCACTCCCGATCCTTTGTGATTCCTTTTATTTACCTGACTATTCATTAGAAAAGGCGTTCTTGGGGGAAGATGACGAGAGAGAAGCGGACCTTCCCACCTCCCCAAGCTTTCCCTTTCTCTTTCTTAATGACGTCTCTCGTGATGAACCACAGACTGCCGGTCATGGAAGGGGGCCGGAGATGGCTCTTGTGTGACCTTAGAAGGCCAACGCACTCAGTCGGACCCAGACTGATGTGGACGGACAAATACATTGTACTACCTCTTTGGTTGCAAATTGAGTGCCTCTTAGCCTTGCAGTACAAACACAAATGGGATCGCTCTCTCTCTCTCCGATTTTTATAGAAGCTGGAATTGACTATGACATGTCATATTTCACGTTATCTCTGAATTTTTTACTCTATGCCTTCTTTTTTTCTCTTCCATCCGAGGCATCTTCAGGAAGACAGCCTTGTACGAATGAACAGGTGGTCATTACGTACTACACTTAAAAGCAGGTTGCATCGCACATCAACGACCAGGGGGAGCGTTCGCAATTTTCTTGGAGGCCGGCAATAAGAACATCATATCCAGCCTTTGAGGAGTGGGCATGGGTCTGCCCAGTCGCTTTCCCTTGGGTTGGGATCCTACCAGTAGACGGAGAGCGAAAGAGCAAGTAAGAGTGGGGGGAATAAAAGCAGCGGAGGGAGAGCCTGTCCATAAACCCAGGGGTATATTGGCTTCACAAATTGCACCACGCTGCATGATTTCAGAGGCCCTTTCAGCTTACATAATGCCTCCCTATGTTTCCCGATTAGGAAAAGGGAGCAACCAGTTCCTGAGGCACACCGCATCAATGAACAACGAGATATGGGGGGAGTAAACTCGTGAGCCATGGTTCTCTTCTGCCCATCGCCGTGATGCGGACGGAGGACTACAGTCCCCAACAGCCGACAGGGAGATATTCCGACTTTAAAGCCCCTGACATGTGAGTGGGGCAACAGCCCCCTCGTCCACACGCTCCCCACGGGATCCCATTTTCCTTGCGAAGCCCCAAGTGGCGGGAGAAGAAGACAGGCAGGATGATGGGAAACCCTTGTTCGTTCAATGGATGGGTTAAAAGGCGGCCTCGTCGGTCAAGTGGGAAGCTGATCTCCGGCCATTCTTTTAAATACCTCCGGGGCAGATTGAATCCAGCCTTGTGGACAATATTTTTGGAGTAAAGATCTAATGTTCCATACGATGATCCAGCCTAGTGGACATATAACAATAGAAATAAAATTCTGTGTACAACAGAAGGCAACGAACGTATGGCAACCACCACATCCGGCACGTGCTCCCACTTTGACGCAACTTTTTTAATGAGTGAGCCATCAGTTAAGTCGACATAGGGGACTGCACGGGTGACATACACATTTCGGTCTTTTCCAAGATTGTTTGGACGTACAATGTTTATTTAGATCATGAAAGAGAATCAAAAACTAGATCTATGACTGTGTCTATTATCTTTATGGTAATTGGTTCTAACCGGTTGTCAGTTTTTATGGGCATTCAACTATTACTACCAAACAAATAGACATTTCTGTGTATGGATATCTTCCATGACCTCGGAACTTGGAAAAAAATATTTTATCAACCCAAACGACAAAAATGGTTGGCCACGGGAAAGAAAGACCTGATCATTATCGATGGAATGCATTATTTAATTAAGTGGAAGACCAAAAGAAATATCATCCAATTCATATCCACAGATTCGAAACCCGCTTGTACATTTTTCTCTTGAAAAGCTTGAAAATGGGTTTGAGGAGATATTTAGAAGATGCCTTCCCTCAATGGCTTCCAGCGCTAGGTTTGTGTCTGTTTTCCTTTCCTACAAGCATTCAGTTTTATCGATAGCCAATCCAAAGACTTGTCGCTGTCTTAGATGATAGAAATCATTACATGCATTTGATATACCTGAAGAGAGCACTCTTTATTCTCCTTTCCATCAACTTGTCATATACATAATACATTAATGAAAAATATATTAAAATTTTATAGGAAAGAAGTTACTGTCTGTGAGAGAGATTGTAAATCCCTCCCATAAAAGTTTGGAGAAAAAACTTATATCTTTCTGAAAATTTATTTTGCATGAAACTTAGTTATCATCAGAACCATTACTATCACAAATAATTAGAGCTTTGCATAGTCTCATTCCTTGCAAAAACCTTACCGTTGAACACAGTCGGATATGATGTGAACTACGTGAACATAAGATACTTAAATGGTTTATATTCGACAAAGAAACGTACAAACAAGAGAATACAACAAAAGATAAGAAGATAACGGATGACGTAGCGTTGACATGATCCTGACCCTGAACAGAGATGACTTTGAGAAAGGAAGAAGACAGTTTCTGACATTTCGATAAAAAGACCAAAAATGGGTCCCACTCTCCATTTGAAAGTGTGGTGGAAGTTATTTCAAAAGTATTTATCCATAAAAAAGCATAAGAATGCACAGACCATGAAATCGAAACTAGGGGAGAAAGGAACAAGGGAAAGGAAATTACGGACTACCTTCATGGCAGCCTTCAGATCTTCACTGCCCACGAGGACCTGACAAAATGGACGGCAAAACAATCATCTTCTGGGGTTGATCGTAGAACTCGCGCTTTTTCATCATTACTAACAAAAAATTGGAAATTATTGGAAATTTGTTGATCCATAGTTTACTATTTTGTTCAAATTAATATAATGTTATCCATTAATTCATTCCCATCCTAGTCCGAGACAAATCTACTATTCTTGATAGTTTCTAAAGAGTTCTTTGTTAAATGCCCGTATCTTCTATGAATAGATGTCAAGATAAAAATTTATCCTCTTGGTAATCTAAGCACCAAGGTGAAACTTTCACCTGATGTTTTCTAATAAATCTTTCCAACTACGTATTCTTCAGTTCCAACTCTACTTCAGTAAATATACAATAGAGTCATATTCAAAATAGTATTTATTATCCCAATAAACACCTGTTATCTCACGCAAACTATAGACGGAACAATTCGCAAATCTTATAAAAGCTAATGCGACATCTTTTCATTATTATACATCAATTATTTATCTTATTAAATAGTGGCTATTCCACAACTGGGACGCCGGCGATAAGTGCGATTCGCTCCCAAGGAACCGGGGGCAGGCCCCTGAGACCCCGTCATGCTGTAGTTATCGCTTCCACGGACAGCGGCACCACCAGCTTCTTTGACGATGTTGACGCCGAAGAGCCTCATCACCTCGACGGGCCTTGCAGGCTGGAAAGGGGTAAATCCGGAAATCAAAGTGGAGGCGGCGGTGGAAACGCGGCGTTTCCTGCTTATGTAAAGCTGCCTTTCCGGCCCTGTTGACCGGTGGAAGCTGACGACGTCGCCGGCCTTGAGACGCTTCTCCTTGACGAAGCGGCTCCACCCTTTCGTGAGCACGTAGCTCTGGCTGCTGTTCCAATAGGTGTACCGGAAGCGCCACGTCTTCCCCGCGGAATCCTCCAAGTTGAGCAGAGTGCCCCTGCTGACGGCGCCGTCAATCTGAAGCGGGAAGTACTTCTCGGCGTGTTGCTTCGGTATCACGAGCCGGTTGAGTTTGCCCACGTCACTGGGGGTCACCGCCTTGTCAAAGAGATGCTCTCTAGCAGCAGATCCGACGCCTGAGATAGCGTGGCGGTGAACGGCAACAGGCGAGGTACCATAGGTGGGGCCGAGAGCGCGCTTGCCCTGTTGCAGCTCGTCGCGGTAAGTGTGCTTGCGGAGCATGTCGACGATCTCGGCCTTTGAGTGAGAGTTAATGAAGAGGAGCTCGGCGGCGCCGTGGCTATCAGACTCGGAAAGAGGCCTGAAGTTGGTGACGGCATCGCGGCCTCGGAAGCGCTGGGCAGCGACGTCATAGGCTCGGGCAGCCTCCGCCTCATCGTTGAAGGTACCGAGCCAGACGCGTTGGTGCTTCTCGTAGATCTGGGCACCCCACCGGCCGTTTGGCTGGGGCACCACCCCCTTGTACTGCGACGACGGCAGCTTGCGGGCCTCCTCCAGACCGACCTCCAGATTTAGCGCCACAGTTTTGCTTCTTCCTGTCCTCTGAAGCTTTTTGTGAAGATGGCTGAGTCGAGAAGTTGTGAGTTGCGTCGGCGCTGCCACCTTTTGCTATTCCCTCAATAACTCGCCTGCGCTCAGCATCTATTCATCCTTCATCTCGCTCGCTCTTTCTCTCTCTCTAGATCAGATCCGATGAGTACGAGTATTAGTACTGTTGTAAGACGGAGAGAAAGGGCTTTGGCTGAAATTCGAATAGCCTAGCTGGCCTTAAAATCTCCCGCTTCGCTTATTCCTGGTTTATGTACTATGATGGAGAGGGGTAGGAGTCAACTGGATATTCAGTGACTTGAAGATTCATCGGTCAACAGAACAGAGTCACCCACCCTCTCCCTCCCTCTCTGTCTGTCTGTCTCTCTGTCTCTCTGTCTGTCTGTCTGTCTCTCTCTCTCTCTCTCTCTCTCGCTCTCTCGCTCTCTCTCTCTTTTGCGACGTCCATTCTATGCTTTGTCCTGTGCATTGGCTAGTGGTGGGTACTTCAGTATTTGGTGTATCCACGGCGTGCTGTCTGTTGGTGGGAACCCCAGCGACCACAATTTTTAATTGTGGGGGCTCGCAAGGTTGTGGGCCAAGTTTTGCGAGTTATTGCCCAAGGTTCTTCGCTGCGGCAGCCGCAGCCAACGCATAGCACCGCTTGATCTGTCATGTGATTCGTGTCTCTTCTACTTTTTATAGCCTAGGGAGAAGCTAAGGAGAAACCTGGGCTGTACATCTTCAGTGAGATCTTTACTGCGAGGGTTTGAGCATTGAACTGGATCCTGGCCGCCTTACCGCCGTCAACTAATGAAGAAGAGGAGCAATAAATTCCCGGTCGATCTACTCAGTTGCCAATTTTTTACCGTCAGAAGAAGTTTTGAGGTATGATTGTTTAGTGAATAATAAATGGAAGGAGGTATGACCACGAGAAGGGCAGATAAAAGAGAGAGAGAGAGAGAGAGGACTGGATCAGACGTAAGGCAAACCTCTTAGGACTACTCATCTGATTTCCTCAAACACTATGAACATGAAATACACATCCTTTCTCTTCTTGCCTCGACAAACTTCTTTGTGATCCTAATTTTGATATGGCTTTATTAGCACTCCAAGTCCTTCATACACGATACTTTAACGAATCATTAGAGGTGTACGCTATTCTTCATGTTAATTGAACTTGGATGATTGTATTCACTTTCCCTCAATTTATAGCTCTTTTGCGTCTTTTATAATCCAACAGTTAGAGGACCTTATCATATTTGAGACAGCCTGGGGAACTCCAGCTGATTGTATAGGCTAAACATTGATTGATGAAAAAAATCGGGAAATATTTTCGCATCGATCGTAAATCATTACTCAAAAAACTCTTATACCATCCATAGTCCCTTAAAGAGAAGATAGGATATATGCTTCCATCATTCAATGACACTAAGCATAGCATTAGACATCAAAATACTGACAGTATTCTTACGTGGACAGGTTTTAAGGGGACAAGTTACAATCTTCTGAAGATATTATTTGAACGTTGAAATTCATTAATTTCCTAACCTCACAGTTAGCAAAATACTTTTATCGTTGAATATCTTTTTTAATTACCTCTCATTTTCTTAGGAAAAATAATTTTGTATCAAGAAAAGGACCTTTGCATTTCTCCAACGCCCCCGGCTGTATATCACCGGCGTTATTGCTTTCACACACTAGGCCACACCTTCTTCAGCAACTCTTGTTGCACGACCTCTTACTAGAGCTTCTAACTGATCAAACTTGGGCAGCTCTTGAGACATACTGTCTCCTTGCCTTTGAATCTGGCATCCCGTCTCAATATCATCATACTCCATGAAGTACTACGCATAACTCAATCCTATAATGATCATACCGGGTTCTTCCTTATTTTTTCGGACAAATGAACATTCTTAGATTTTAACAGCCATAGATAATGTCTAGGCAACATTTTATGCACGAATAAGATTATTATGTGATGAAAGAAAATTTTGATTAAATAAAGGGATTGATTTCATCTGCTAATTTAAGGACGCATTCTTCCACACCTTTGTACACATACAAGACCCTTAAAATGGTAATTACGTAACTACATTCAAATCTTGCATGTCAAAACCTAATGTATTGTCCAAGTTCTTAATAGCCACTCAGGATCCAGAGCTTGGTTGACCCTAGTCCGCGCATTTCACACTCAAGGGAAACAACCTAATTTACCGATGCTTCAAGAAACGAAACATCACCCGTTGACATGTTTCCCTTCCTGTGTTGACGAAAGGAAAGAAAAATGGAAGGGGGGCTGGAAACCAACTGAAGAAACCAACAGCATGGGCCGAATTTCAATTCCTATAAACTTCTCGATGCTGGTTCTCTTTGCAGAATATGAGCCTATATTGTTAAGCTGTGGCTCACGTGGTTGACAATTTCTGAGCAGGGCACCATCTCAGCTCTTTTTTGTCCTGGTCCAACACAAGCTGAGATAAGATTCTCAGTCTCGAATCAAGATCATTCTCCCTCCCCCAGTTGAACCTATCTGTGGCACCAGATCGGTGGCACTTCTTTTGGGACCGATTGACGAGGCGACCGTGTTGACTCAGATTGCGACTCTTCCTCGATCTACGGACCTTATGTCTCATTATTTGTCTGCGATAGTGTGCGTTGTACAGTTGCAGGGAAGAATTGGTCTCACCTATCAGATAAGCTGAACAAGGAAAATCGGGCTTCGTGCTTCCGCTTTCGGTTTCCTTGTAAATGTTCATAAGATATGGGTAATCCAATGATCTCTTACTACCTACCCCCCCCCTCTCCCTCCCTCCCTCCCTCTCTGTGACGTCTTCTTTCAAGTAGATCCACACGTAGTTTGATCGTTGCAAGATTTTCCAACTTTATTGAGAGAGCTTTCTCCTTCAATTGAGATAGGTGGACTGCAACCGCACATTAGGTGGTGACGGCCAAGCAAGCTAGTAGATAATGTACCGTTGACCTGAATCTGAACCATTACTGAAAAGTTCACCAAAGGATACAAGAAATTGAGGACGGGTTAGCGTATGAAAGGAGCGTCCTCCAAAAAGGTAGCAAGGCCTTTGCGGATAGTTTTCTCTCATAGTGCTAGAAAGACAAGGTATCCGGGTGCGGGACTTCGGTGAAATGACCATATATCAATCTTTCAACCCGTAAGATTATCTCACAGAACTCTATTAAGAATTTAAATGTTGCATTCTATCTTTCCTCCAAACAATTGAATCAATTCCAACTCTGTAGTAACCACATTTTCTTCTTTGCCAGCTTAATCAACCACTTAGAGGAACGAACCGTGGAAGAATAAGAGCAACAAGACATTAGAAGAGGAGAAAATACCGCCGGGAAGTAATTCGAAACGGAAGATTATTTTATCTTTGCAAGAACACGAGAGCGATTTAGAAATTGAGGAAATGGAATATAATTATGGAATTTTATCATAATTCGATTCGTTTCCAGGATAATTTCATGATTCAAGGTTTCCTTCATTTGCCTCATTCCTCCGCTTTCCCTCTCAGTTAGAATTCACATTCAGATATGCAAAGACGACAACAGTAGAGGAAATAGGGATTCCATCTATTTTCAACTCATCTATTCATACCGACGCAACGACCGCCGACAATCGGATCTTTTTCTTCATCGTGGTGCTCCAACCAAAGTAGAATTCCCTTTGAGTTTTCTTCTACGTCCTTTGCAGATGTCCAACCGTTCTCATCGTCGGACGCAGTCAACATTACAAGACTCCGACGCATCTCTTCTTCCAGAGCTGCGGCTGCGGCATCTCCATCTCTCTCCGTTCCTCCCCCCCTTCATCGTGGGTGGGGGTGGATGCAGTCTTACCGGGTACCTTTGCGATGTTCACGCCAAAGAGCCTCATCACCGGGATGGGCCTCGCTAGATGCAAGGCTTGGACGGCGGGAATGAAAGTCGATGAAGAACGTGGCTTCCAGCCGATGTAGAGCTGCCTGTCGAGGCCAGTCGACCGCTGGAAGCTGACTACATCACCGGCCCTGAGGCTCTTCTCCTTGACGAAGCGGCTCCACCCTTTCGTGAGCACGTAGCTCTGGCTGCTGTTCCAGTAGGAATACCGAAAGCGCCACGTCTTCCCCCCGGAATCCTCCAAGTTGAGCAGAATGCCCTTGCTGGCGGCGCCGTCAATCTGAAGCGGGAAGTACTTCTCAGCGTGTTGCTTCGGTATCACGAGCCGGTTGAGTTTGCCCACGTCACTGGGGGTCACCGCCTTGTCAAAGAGATGCTCTCTAGCAGCAGATCCGACGCCTGAGATAGCGTGGCGGTGAACGGCAACAGGCGAGGTGCCATAGGTGGGGCCGAGAGCGCGCTTGCCCTGTTGCAGCTCGTCGCAGTAGGTGTGCTTGCGGAGCATGTCGACGATCTCGGCCTTCGAGTGAGAGTTAATGAAGAGGAGCTCGGCGGCGCCGTGGCTATCGGACTCGGAAAGAGGCCTGAAGTTGGTGACGGCATCGCGGCCTCGGAAGCGCTGGGCAGCGACGTCGTAGGCTCGGGCAGCCTCCGCCTCATCGTTGAAGGTACCGAGCCAGACGCGTTGGTGCTTCTCGTAGATCTGGGCACCCCATCGGCCGTTTGGCTGGGGCACCACCCCCTTGTACTGCGATGAAGGTAGCTTCCGAGACTCCACCTCCGGGCCGTGCTCTGGGTCCAGAACCACGCTAGCCCCGCTCCCCACCCTGTGGATCTTCTCGCAGGAAGAAGACACACCAGGCTGATGGAGAGAGAGCAGTCGGGAAGCCACCGGGGAGGTGAGGTTGGGCGTCTTCGTCGCCACCGCCACCTGATCGATCCGGCAGCGGCCGTCCATGCCAAAAGTTGCCACTATCTTTCTATCTTTCTTTCTATCTGTTTTCTCCAGGAGAAGAATCTTAGGAGAAGAAGAGGACGAGAAGCCTCAGTATTTATGGGATGAGGTCATTCCGCGTTGTGAGATGAGGAGAGGCGCGGTGTGATGAAGTATATCAGGTGTGGTGAGGAAAACTCAGCATATACGCATATATAGGGATCAGCCCCAAGTGGGCTTTCAATTCTCGTCCTACTTCTTAGTTATACCGGGCTTTTCTCATAATCTCATGGGTTTTTGCGTGCGTTGTATTGTGACGACAGCAAGAAGATTCATTTGAGGCAGCAGACGTCTCTCTCTCTCTCGTTTGTTAAATGGGCTGACGAGGATGCGCGTTGATGTGGTGTATATGCCTTGTGGCGTCCCCAGCGGTGTGGTAGCGCCCCCCCCCCCGGCCCCCTTCAAAAGCTTCAAGTGGATGAGAGACTCACATGAGTCTGGACCATAGAATAGCCAGGTTCATCCCCCCCAAGCTTCGCACTCTGCTGAACTTTTCATGGAGTTAAGGATGGGCCTCCCCCCAACACCTATCATCGTAACCGTCCTCTGGTCCTCTAATCCTGTATTTGGGTTCCATTTGAGGAATAATAATGAAGCTAAACTAAATCCCATTATCTATAAAATTAATAGAGTATTATTAGTGGCTCTAATGTAAGTAAGAAAATGGTGAAAACGTGGCGTGGGCAGTTTCCATAAAATGAATCTCGGGCCATAAATTGTTTGACTCTTCTAACACTTTTATGCAGATGGCCTGAGACCTAGTCTGATTGGTCCACCCCACCTAGCCTATTTACGACCCATCATCAATTCAATATTTATTTATTTTTACAATGTGAGCATTAATATTTAAAAGGGTTCTTACTCTCATTAAAAAAACTGTATTTAGACTGTAGAATGCTGTCCTAATATGAAGAATAACCCATTTTATTCTGCAATATGATGACTCATTTAAGATTACTTTCACTTCCTCTGTAAAGTTTCTTCTAAGTGTACTAACCTTTGTCGTTTATACGGAAGTACTCAATAAGCATGATACCTTCACAAATTTATCTTTCCAATGTCACGGGCAAACTATTAGTAGTTAATTGGAATATTTTTTATATAAATATATATATGGAACTTCTTATAAAATGGCTATTTCCTTGTAAAGTTTGAAGCAATGGTATATTATTTACGTGTTCCACCATTCTAAGAACTACAACTTTTAAGTAAATAATATGAAAACTAATAAGACAACGTTCATAAGACAGATTTTAAATTCTTACAGCTGGTTTCAAGAAACTAATAAAAAATGATAGCACTAAGCATGTATGAACGATATCATTGGAAAAAAGATTCCTTTGATAGATAAAATTAAAGAGAGGAGAACCTTGATATCACAATAGCACACATTAGTAGAAATAATGATTATTTTAGGGTACGTCTAAATTGAAACATATAGAAAGTATGACGTAAAAAAGCCAAAATAGAAACGAATGGCTACAAAGTTCTCACACAAAATATTAAAGCTATTTGGATCAACAAGACAAGAAACTCACGTCATTGATGAAATTATTTTCTAAATTTCTCATAAATCTTATTATATCTCTATGACATTATTGGGATCCATTGTGAACTTCACTAGAATGAGGTTCACATATATTAAAAGTGTTTACTACAAAGTGTGCACACATAATGAATGAGGTATGAATAAATTTCATAATAGCAACAATAAAACTAATAATATCTAGGAGATACAATATCACATGTATACAAAACAAGAATAGTTGAAATGGTGGATCCTCACAGGTAGCAATGGAAGACTAAAACAATGATAATAATGCAATTAATGAAAATATGTATTAACAAATAACTATGGGAAAATATAAACAACATTAACTTTTTAGAATGCTTAAAAGGATAATATATACTAGTCTTATCCTGTGATAATGAATGCAAAATATGATACATAGTAAAAGTAACAAAAAGTAACCAACTTTTGTGATGAATAAAGAACTCTAATAAGAATCTAGATTCAGCCACAAAGATGATTAGCCAACCATGTGGTCGTGGTCAGTTTAGCTGCGGATAAACATGGAAAACACTCATGAACTTTGTTTTGATGCATTATACAAAGAACTTTGTAACTTAGATGAATGTCAAACGAATCTAAAATAATACCCCTCATCAATATTAAAGTGATGCATTTGTTGATTGATCGGGACACCTAAATTAAGCCTTGGAGACGCAACAGTTATAGAAAATTATAGGCGTACATTGCGAGAGTTAAGTCGTACGCACACCTATATAAACATTCATAGCCACAAAGACAACCTCACATGGGTGTACAGCCACATGCCCACCAGTATGTGCCAACAAACTAACAGTGCACACGTTCACCGCCAAACTATCCCAGAGTTACACACGTGAGATACCAAACCAGCAGCATTGACCCAGTTGTATTATAAAAATAGAGAAAACTAAGGGCACTCTTTGAAATAGTCTTCCCGTATGGAGTAGGTGGGCGAACCCAAAATACAGCGAGAGAGAGAAAGCGAGCGAGAGAGAGAGAGAGAGAGAGAGAGAGAGAGAGAGAGAGAGAGAGAGAGAGAGAGGGACAGAGAGAGACAGAGAACGCCGACAAAGTTCATTTCTTGGGTCTGTTCTACATTATCCTTCCCAATGCCTGTGGTGAGCTCCACTCCCGGTGGCATTTCCGACCTTCAGGTGGAAACAGACGCGGCCCTTCGTCCGTCGGCAACTGAGACTCTCAGCCAGAGCGCAGCGGGGCAGGAGAAGGACAAGATCCAGAGCTAAGGGAGAAGAAAACGCTACAGCAATTTATGAGCTGTACGATTACCGAACAGACGAGCCTTGCCTCTCCCAGATTAGCCTCTGTGGAGGAGAGAAGGTAAAAAAACACAATAAGACGAATGCCGAGGGTAAGGCGCAAGGAGAGAGCATGTGAGAGAACAGTTGACGTACCATCATTGGATGACAATCATGTCGGGATGATGGATGCTGCATCGTTTCGCTTTCGAGGGAGACATACAGTAAAAGACGAACTCCCTTGGGGGGGTGTGGGGGAGGAGGAAGAGGCCATTAAAGTTCAATACGAGCGAGCGTAGGCACCAAGGCAGGCGTACGGACGCATCTCCTTTAATTCAAAACTTATGGGCCTAAATTCTTGGACTTATATTCAGACAAGGTCTCCCTGACGAAGTGACAAGCTTGTATGCTACGGACAGGGACAAGAGAGGCGGGCAAGTGAGAAAAACGGAGATACAAGAAAAGATAGAGAGGCAGTCATGCTGACAAGACTTGACTTGGTTTCGGGCAAAGCGGTATGGGATGTCTCCATTGCTAGGTTTTTTGAGAGGGCTGGAGGGACAGATGCATAGAAACATGGAGGACGATATTTGGGAACACATGGAATACCAGATCCTCAGTATTATTTCCTCTGTTTTCTCAGTATGGTCCCTTGATTTCCACACACGTCGTCTCCCTCTTTAAATACGATTTTGCGAGGCAGGAGAGGAGCAGAAACCCAGCCTCCTTACCCTCTCCGTAGATTCTGTTATCTAGCTATTCTGCACAATGCAGGAAAGAGGTGTTATGATGAACCGAGACTAGAAATATGAGGGAGTGAGAGAGAGAGAGAGAGAGAGAAAGAGAGAGGAAGAGAAAGCGCGGAGAAGGGGAACATTCACACGCATTCGTCCATGCTTTCTGTGTTTGTCTTTGGAAGAATTTGTCTTGGCTCGTGAAGCGGCTATTACGGTGCTTTGCTCTCTTATTTCAAATATATCACTAGAAGGTGAAGAAATTAATTAGGCCCATAGTTTATTCCCACGTGAGCTGTCACGGAATTCACCCAAAGAGGAAAACTGGGTCCCCCTTGTCATCCTGAGGATGGAAAGCGTTATGCACAGCATCTTTTATTGAGATGGACACGATTGTCAGTCTCGACAATATTGACCCTACAGTCAAGTCGTGATATTAACCATTCACATTAACATCGCTCACTTGATCCCAACCCCCTCTCCAAATAATATTCTAATAAAATTCTAACTTTTCCCGCTTATTGGAGTCTCCTCCAAGGGTAAGAAGAGATTATTTTGACCACAATATCCGTCAAATTTCCTCAATTGATGTTGCGTGCATGGTGTAGATATGTATCAGAAGCCAGATTAAATTGCATCGATTAGCCTAGCGATCTCGAGAAATTTCTGATTCTACTATTTGAGATTAGAGTATTTTAACGAAAAGATGAAACACCGTCCTTCACAGGGTGAAGAACTTTGATACCGTTGTATAGCGTTCATCGACGGAGAATCGTCGCCCGGTATCCCGAGAATGTCAGGGTTTGCTGACACTATTCAGGAAGTCAATGCCCACAGCAAAGGGAGAAAATTATTGTGCCAAAAGGAAAAGGGATGCCAAACTCGCCAGAGATAACCACTTTAATCATGCAATCGTCAATTCTTTTCATTGGCACTGGGTTTGCTTTCAAAAGCATGAATTGCCAAAAGATTCCGTCTTTATCAATTTTATAACTTTTAACATTAAGAATAATGATGTGACCTTGAAAAAACGAGAATGATCTAAAGGGTTTGAATTTTGTATCCGTGAATATAGGACAGAAGTGCTATTGATGATGTCTAGTTAGTTTGGGCACAACTTATTGATGTCCTAACAACTGGCATTGTAAGAATATATAAATCTGCAATGTCATAATTATGTTAATTTAGGAGAAATCAATTATTTTTCCTCAGTATGCTCCTACTGAAACGAAATCGACGTATGTACGTTTCAATCGACTAATGAAAAGACAGTATCCAATGGGCTAGAAAACTTTTGATTAAAAAATTTATCGTCTTAGTAAATATAAAACATCAGCTGGGTAGCATTGAGAGGGGAAATTTGAGTTGGAAATATGTATTCGAGGATCGAGTACTGTTGCCTTTCATTATTTGACTTGGAGA